GGCAAACAAACACTGCAATATAAGATTTTATTGATGTGACCCTTCGGACACCACTTTTTATGTGTATTGGTCCACAAAAGTCAATGCCTGTCCGAGCAAATGGTCTTTCTACAGTTACTCTTTCTCGTGGAAGATTTGCCATGAATGGTTGCATAGTGGTAGGTTTGTATCTGAAGCAAGTTAAACATTTATGAACGGTCATACGCGATAAATTTCTGACCCGCAATGGCCAATAACTAAGGAGCATATGAGACAATAATGCTTGAGGGCCAGCGTGCAATAATTGAATATGTTCATATTTGAATAATAATTGAGTAATATTGTGGTGTGATGGTAGAACAATAGGAAACTTTGTATTTTCAGTTAAGGAGGAATTTAACAATCTGCCTCCAACTCGGATAATATGTTTAGAATCTAAGAATGGATTCAATAATTTCAGTTTGCTTTTCGAGGACACTAAATTCCCTTTACTTAGAGCACCTAGTTCGTCTTGGAATGATACAGCTTGAGCTTGACGCAACCATACAAGCTTGGCTTCCTCAATTTCACCTACTGTCAGTGGTCCAGACTGCCGTGACTGTTGAGCTTTGAATGATAATGAATTGTTACGGAAACGCAATATGAATGCGGTGATTCGTAGGAGCGGTAACCATTCAGCAAACTTGTTTAGTATAGTATTTTCTTCTTGAGAAGTCGTCAACAGCGCAAGTTTGATTTGGCGAACTTCTGGTACTTCTTCATTAACTGATGGTTGTGTTGGCCACATTTCATTGTCCAGTGGGAGCCACGTTGGACCACACCACCATAGTGTACTTTGATGGAGATTAGACACTGTTACACCACGGGAGATTAGATCTGCTGGATTGCAGTAGGTGGGAACATGGTACCACTGCTCTCTGTTGGAATTATCTAAAATTTGCGCTACCCGATTTGACACATATGATTTTAATGGCTGCTTACTGTTGATCCACGATATCACAACTGTGGAGTCAGACCACAAGAAAATGTCAGAATCGTGAATATTTATAACAAGTCGTTTGAATTCGGTTTTAACATCGGTAATAAGCTCGGCCAGTAATACTGCTCCACACAACTCCAGTCTGGGTATAGTGGTTGGATGCATTGGCGCGACCCTAGATTTTGATAAATATAGGCGGCATGTTCTTGGCAACTCATCTTCGGTTTGGGAGAGCACATAGATACATGCACCAAAGGCTTCTAAGGACGCATCACAAAAACCATGCAGCTGCAACCTGCTCCAAGTTTGAGAAAATATGTGACGTGGAATTATTAATTGATGTAGCTCACCCAATGAGCTATAAAACAACTTCCAACGTTGCTGTAGGTCATCCGGTAAAATTGTGTCCCAGTTCAATTTAAGAGCCCACAGCTGCTGAATAAATATCTTTCCTTTAATAAGCACAGGAGAAATAAACCCAACAGGATCATAAATTCTGCTTATTTCAGAGAGTAATGTTCGTTTGGTGATTTTTACAGCAGGAGTACATTCTCCCAATTCAAAGTGGAATGTGTCAGTGCTCGGCTGCCACCTTAACCCGAGTGCACTAATCATTTCTTGATCAGTTAGTGTTAACCGGTAGGCTGGGTCGTTGACAGTAGTAGGAATTCGCGACATCAGACTGGTTGAATTTGAGCACCATTTTCTAAGTGGAAAGCCAGCAGATTGAAAAATGTTACTAAGTGTTTGGTGCAAGGTGTAGCAATGATCTTCGGTGGCACCACCACTCATAAGATCATCTACATAGAAATCTTCGATAATGGTTCTTTTAACTGACGAGTCATTAGTGTCTTGGGCTAACTGCAGGAGACACCTAGTGGCTAGGAATGAGGCGGACTTGGTGCCGTATGTCACGGTGCACAATTTGAACTCTTGCATAGGCTGATCTGGAGCTTCACGATATACAATTCGTTGTACATTGCGGTCTTCAGGGTGTACTAATACTTGCCGATACATTTTGGCAACGTCAGCAGTTAGAGCTATTGCATGGGTGCGAAATCTAAGTATTATGGAAATAATATCATGCAGGGTTTTTGGACCTCGATGAAGAATATCATTCAATGATAGTCCTGATCTTGCACTTGCCGAGCCATCAAAGACTACTCTGACCTTGGTGGTTATACTATCTGCCTTTACAACCGCATGATGTGGTAGATAATATGTTGCTACTTCACTGCCCTCCTCAGCCTGCTCCATGTGACCCAATTCTAAGTACTCGCGCATGAATGCCTTGTACTCATTAGCTAGTAATGGTTCTTTTTGCAATCTTCTTTCCAGGTTAAGAAATCTTTTTACAGCCATGTAACGGGAATCACCTAAAACAGAGGGCTCTTGTTTGAATGGTAATCGTACCACAAACCGACCAGACTCATCTCTGGACACAGTGGATAAGAAATGTTCTTCAGCATAGCACTCTTCTGCGGCTCTACTATTTCCCTTTGTGGCCTGCAAAATAATAGCTGATTGACTTACTGGCCCATGAGTGACTAGTGATGTACTTGCTTCTCCATGTGGGACATCATGAAGTTGACCCGCAACAATCCAACCAAGTGCAGTACTATGTGCAACCAGATTATGAGAAATAGCCATTTTTTCACCATAGAAAATCTCAAAGAAAACATCTGCACCTAACAAACAATCAATTGACCTTGGCTCATGGAATTGTGGGTCAGCCAATTGCTGCCTAACAATATTTGGTATACTCAACTCGTTGACCTTTACTCAACAGGATGGTAAGTCACTAGTAACAACTGGAATGCAATGGAATGTCAGTGCAGTAGAGTATTCACTTGTGCGAGACGACATTATAACTGGTGCGAGACGACTGACCGACAATGAAGTAGACCCAATGCCTTCTATGGATGTAGAGTCATCAATATTCTTTAGTTGTAACCTTTTAGCACATGCCTTCGTCATAAAACTTAACTGAGAACCAGAATCTAATAC